CATGACTCAGCATATGCCTATTACAGCTTCAAGGAAGGATCTTATAATGGAGGAGGAAACATCACATTTACAGGAGCTCTTGGTGTTGGTACTGAATTTACAGCAAGGCTCTTTAAGGGAGATCTTCTCCTCAGAAATTCTCAAGTTAACTTTACATATTCAGTATGTCTCTTACTCACTAGTCCAATATGCTGCACTTGTTATCAACTGGTTTAGTTAATTACTCATAACCAATAATAAAATAACCAATTATCTCATTTTTACACTTGGAAGTAACTGGGATTTTACTTAATCTGACTGAACCTTACTCCCTTATAATGATTTCTTAATTGTCCCTCAATAATGTGTACTGACAATTTTACAGTATGAACTGCTGCTAACTAAATGATCAATTTTTTGAGGTTTGCCTGAGATAACCCCTCAATTTAATTCTTGATGAAACAACTTTTTGTTTCAGGTTAAAGTAAGTGGGAACTCCCAATTAGGCCTTGTCCTTGAGTTTTATTCTGCTTCGCAAGAGAAAAAGTCGATATTTCTTGCCGCCTCAGGAAATACCTTACTAACCATGAACCAATTCTCAAGTCGTTTCACTAATGTAATAATGCCACGTCGAGTGACCAAGCTGAAAGGAGGAGAACCTTCGTGGGTTATACAGGAAAGCAGAATCAACATGCGTGGACATGTATTAAAAGAAATCCGGGCCTTGTGCTACAAATTAATGCCCGAACAATCTTTATCTGGTGAACCTTCAGATTATTCTGCAGTTCTTGGAGATGTTAAGATTACCAGTGGAGAACAAAATACTAAATTCCCGGCATCTAATTCATGGCTTGTTGATGGTGAATACATCAATTGGGCTCCGGGTTCTCAAGGGTCGAGAAAACTTAGTGTCAAAATCATTTGGCGACTAAACGTAGGTAGTAAAGATCTTTTTCCCAAGTACAATGTTTATGTCGATAAAACCACTAGTTCGTTGTCTGAAAACCGGGGTCAGGAGGAAGGTTCAGCTGCAGAGTTTCTTGGTGAGGCGTTTGTGAAATCGTTCTATGCTTCTGGCGTGGAAGTTCCGGAAGGGACTTGTATCGTGAAATTCATCGTCCAAGCATGCGGTTTTGATGGGGCTGGCCAAAAGCTTGAAGATTGTCCCTTTTTACTACTTAAAGTCGAGGGTTCGTAAGTTTCTTCGAGCCTTGTTATTCAATTATGTATATGCTGATTGCATTATGAGAAGAATATGGATCATAATGCATGTTGTTCTTGCGATTGACATGAAATCAGATAGTATTATGAGAAGAATGTGGACTATAATTAGGCCTGTAAACAAGCTGACGTTCTTGAGCTTGAGCCCTTAACGTGTTGAGCCGAGCTCGGCTCGTTAAATAAACGAGCCTGAAATCGAGCTCGGCTTGAGCCCTTGACGTGTTTGAGACTTAACAACCCGATCTCGAACTTTATTTAATAAGCCAAATTATAGAAAAATATATAAAAATTCTCTTTTTGAGTATTGTCGAATCGATTTGAACCGAACGTGAGCCTTAACGAGTCGAGCTCGAGCCGAGCCGAGCCAGACTCGTTTAATGTAACAACACTAACCATAGTGTATGTTCTTGCTATTGACCTGAAATCAGATAGTATTGGGAGCTGGACACTTGAACTTGATGGATCAATAAAACGTTGAAGTATTTTCCTTAAATACAAGTACATGTTGGCCATGAATTTGTTGAGTTCACAATATTTCTCTACGTTCTTGAGAATGGAGCTATATTCTTCGTATTTGATTATATTCACAAACTTAAACACATTCAAAATTAGCACATATATCATGCAGATCACACGAAATCGATTCCTATACTATTATTATGTTGAGATTATTATACACTAAACATCTTCTTTTGCACTCCAAATCATATTCTTATATAGAGTTGGGACATGAACGTTTTGGAAGCACATATAGTGGCCTCGAGCCCTCCAAAAGAAATATAATTAAGGCTCCATAATTCGAGGATGATATATAAGACAGAAATGTAATTTGACTTATATTATCTCACTTTCCCATGATGTTAATCTTTCTAATTTTCAACTCATTTTGACTCAATTTTTGCTTTCTTTTGTCAAAAAACACAAATCCCATAAATTCTTCAAGAAAGTTGCAGCTTTTCAGACATCCGCAAATCTTGACCCACGAGAGATATTTTACCATCAAGTGTTGATGTTGGGAAGTACTAACAAATGTTGCTATAACAAAATTCCGTAACGGTACCATCCCGTTGGGTGTTTTAACCGTTGGATACACATGTAGTTAGTATAAGATAGATGATCCAACATTTAAAACACACGACGTGATAGTTAATTTTTCAAAAGTAATTTCGTAACTATATGTGTACCAAAAGTAGTTTTTAGAGAACAATTTTGATGGGAAACAAGTATCAATTATCAGCCTAAAATTAAATTTCAGACCAAATTAGTCCTCAAATTAATTAATTTCGGATTACAAAACTACTTTTATTAATTAGGTGAATATATATCAATGAAACCACTTTTGATATTAAGATTCTCACCTGACATTGGAGGTACGCACATGATCTTGTAATAATGTCAAAAGATTTCCAGAACTCCCTTTATAAACCAAATAATTATTATTTAATTATAATAAATTAATAATGACATATATTATTTAATTTGATGATAAGAATTTTAAGTCTTTGTTGGATTCCCTCCAGCCGTTTGCTAAGTATTAGTCAAATGATCAATTAAATAATATACTAAAAAACTTATTAGCACAGTGTAAAAAGGTAGGTTGAATTTGATCTGAACGGTTTTATCAAAGCAAGTTAAGCACGTAGAATTAATTATTCCTCATTTTAATTATTTTTTTAGTTACTGTTATTTAATTAATATTGCCTGCAGAATTTATGTCTACAATAATATTTTAGAGCACCGACCACCATCTGTTCATTTTTTTTACATTTACATGTTGGAACAAAGTAGTGTTTAATTACTAATCAAAATTAACTAATAATTTCGTGTAATTAATTATTAATATTGTTTTCCCACAGTTTCACATGCTAGGGTTGACTTATCATCTTACCTTTGTTTTCATATTAATTACTATATCCCCCATACCATAGCGGAAGATGCCACGGTTCTGTTTCGGAACCATTCCGTTGAGATTAAGATCAACTATTTCTGACGGTTACATGATGATCTAACGGTTACAAACCTTGACGGAATGATTATGTAACGAGACCATAGTAGTTTCCTACTACAGTACTACTCTTTCTCACCTCTTTCAACTCTCCACATAATTTTCCATTACACTAAATTATTGAATATGAGATCAAACAGAAAAGGGAAATCACCCGTACTATTTCATGTGTGTTAAAGAATAAAGAAGATTCAAAGGCTAGCTTTTCCCATACCATGCAGCTATATATATGAATATATGTGTGTGCCCTTAATATTAAGATTTAGTGTGCTAAATTTTAGAACTTTGGCACCAAACCATTTTTTGTTCCACTAATTAAGTTGGTCCCTTTTAGTAATTGATACACTGTTTTAAAGCTAATCAAATTCAATTTGACGAGTTAGTGTAGTGATTCCTCCTCATGATTAGTAATTTTTTCACATATATATTTATTTATGTCAAGTTAGTTTATTTATAAAAATTCATTCAAGAACTTTCGGCCAATTAGCTTGTTGAATGTAGTCTACAAACTCATTACAAAGTTGTTGGCCGGTCGAATGAAGAGTTTATTGCCTAAGTTAAATGGCCCGGCACAGGTGAGTTTCGTTCCTGGCCGCCACACCTCGAATAATATATATTGTGTCATTGCCCAGAAGTTAATTCATTCAATGAGTCGTAAGTCCGTCAAATCAGGATATATGGTGGTTAAGGTGGATAAATTAGGGTATTATTTTTAGAAATTGACAAATTTATTGGAAAAAAATGAATTTTTGCCCTATCAAGATAGTATATAGTTTTAGTTACTTTAAAACTTGGGAGTATATAGGTCGTATTTATATCTTTTAGCCAATCAAACCAATAAAGAGCACATACTACATATCCACGATCTATATCATGATAAAACTTGTTAGTACTTGATCAAATTAAAGCCCATACTGCAAAAATAATTACCAAGAAAGAGAAAAAAAAACCCTAAAAACTAGGTAAAAAAAAAAAACT